ACTAATAGTCCTTTCCCCAGTTCAACCTCTCCTCCCCCTGCCCTCTTCCACACCCACATCCCGCTCACACAGCCAGCCTTTACCCTCCTCCCTCTCCACCTTAATGAAGTTGGAAGTTCGGTCTTGGTGAAAAGGGGCAAAAGGTTATTTCGCTCCTGCAGATGGGAGACCAGGCTGGCTCTTGGCTGCATAACCAGGGGAGCTGGCAAAGGGGAAGAAGGAGACAGGCCAAGGGAGGGAAGGCAGCGGGGGGTTGGGGGGGGTAGCGAGTCTTGCCTGCACTCGGGCCTCTGGCAGATTGGTGCACATCGCCAGCCGCTCCCGCATCACCACGTCCGGGTAGTGCGTCTTCTGAAAGGTCTTCTCCAGGGCCTCGAGCTGCTGGGCGGTGAAGGCAGTGCGACTGCGGCGCTGCTTTCGGTGCTGAGAGCCATAGCGGGCCTCCAAGATGATGTCTTGAAATGTACAGCCGTTGGAGGGCAAGGAGAGGGGGCCCATTTAATTATGGGAATTAGGGAGGTGCACACACAAGACTGCCTGCCTTCTAGTACTAAGACTCAGCCCTCCACAAACAAAATCGCAGAGTCTTGAAACTGGAAGGGATGCCAGACACGGTCCAGGCTAACCCAATCCAGTATAGGAACCCCCTCCGTAGCCTCCTTGACCGAATGGCCTTCTAGATTCTAATGGTAGGGATGGTAGTGATGGGGGAGCTCACTACCACCCGAAAGAACCCCTTAGTTCTTGGCTAATATACTATTTGTATATCATTAAGGAAATCGTCTGTTTTCAATCTCCTCTGTCAAATAAGGGGGTTTAAATCAATGACCTCTAACTGCCCTCTTAGTTTAAATCCTATGAAAGTATGATCTCCAATGACAGAGAGTGTGGGCCCTGTTAGGCCACCCTTTCTGCTTATTGGAACAGTCTTCTTGTCTTGGAGAAGAAGAATCATGAGGGTGGTAGTGGTGATCGTGATCATGGTTATTTAATGCTCTAAGGTTTACCAAGTGCTTTACAAACATTATCTCTTTTTACCCTCACAACAACCCTGGGAGATAAATACTATTGTTGTCCCCATTTTACAGAAAAGGAAACTGAGGCAGGCAGAAGTTAAGTGATTTGTCCCCAATAAACCTCTTCTCTGGACTCAAGTTCCTCCAACTTTTCCTCATGTGGGCCTCACCTCCTGTCTTCTTACTGTTATGTTTACCCTCTTATGGATGCATGATAGCTCATCAATGTCCTTCAGCTAAAATATTTTTTTTTTGTTATTCTCAGAATGTTTTCTAGGAGGCATATGACCAGGCAGAAGAGAGGTCACTGCTGTCCTTAGCCTTAGCAAATTACCTCTGGATCTGATCTTACTGCTCAAATTCCAAGCAGTATTTGCAGTTCTGGTGAGACATTCTGAGAACGTTACTGTCCAGAAGAGAGTGTAGCCTCTGGCTGAAGGGCATAGGGAGCCAAGAAAGGTCATGCCAATAACTCCATAAATGGTCACCCAAAAAACTTCCCAGAGAAGTAACTTCTTTACTCTGAGTCTTAACACAGCCTGAGTGCTAACTGTCCAAAGACTGACCCCTGACCCTAGTTATATACTGAGACCTGACCCTAGTTATATATTAATCCCTGACCCTGGTCTTAGACTTAGCCCTAAACCTGATTTCAGATTCAGCCCTGACTTGGGCAAGGTATCTCATAAAATTGTATTTGGTCATAAGGGGGAGCAAGGTGAGAGAGTGCATGGCTCCATGCAAGTATCCTTAACTGTGGGAGTAACTCTGCTCCCCGAAGAGCAGAGACAGTTGCCAGAGTTACTGCCTCCTGAACTGAGATGCTCTGATCCCTACAAGAGGGACAAGTGGTTCATGGAGCAGGAAAAGTTAAGGTAGATGTGTAAGGATGAGGGCACTGGAGAGCCAGACAGGGGCTCAGCTGGAGTCCCAGGTCTCTTTGCACTTATCCCAGATATCGTGGCTTCTGTTTTCATCCTTTCTCGAAGGACTACTTCATATAAAGGGCCAGAAAAGATTGGATATTCCAAGATCTTGAGATTTTCACCTTGAGACTTCCCTCCCTCTGTTTATGGCCCCATCATTGATCCCATCTCCCAGGTTCCTAATCTTGGGGTGACCTGTGACTCTTCCCTCTCTCTCACTTGCCACATCCAATCAGTGACCAAGTTCTGTGGATTCCATTTCTGCCATTTCTCTTCTCTCTGTCCCCCACCATTCCCACAGCCACTTCCTTAGTGCAGACCCTCAATGTTACCCACCTGGCCTGTTGTGATAGGCTCCTACCAGTTCCCCCCCCAACTCTACTCCTTCCTCCAATCCATACTTCGGTTTGTTACCAGACCCATCTTCCTTAGGCACAGGGCTGGTCAGGGCACTGCTTCCCTCAAAGCCCTATAGGAGACCCTATTGCCTCCCATCCAGTTAAAACTCATTTGCCTGACATTCAAGGCCTAGCATCACCTCAACTTTTCAGCTGCATCTTAGATTAGTCACTTCCATGAAAGCTTGGCTCCAATCAAACTGAATTCCCCTCTGTGCGCTGAGCAGACCCTGTGCCATCCTATTTCAGAACCTTTGTTCACCAAAGTTCTCTCTGCCAGGAATGTCTTCCCTCCCCTTTGATCTATCTGCGTGGGATGGGGAACCTGCAGCCTCAAGGCCACATGTGGCCCTCTAGGTCCTTAAGTGTGGCCTTTCAACTGAATCCAAACTCCACAGAACAAATCCTCTTAATAAAAGAATTTGTTCTGTAAAACTTGGACTCAGGACCTAGGACCTAGAAGGCCACATATGGGCCTCTAGGTCCTCAAGTGTGGCCCTTTGACTGAATCCAAACTTCACAGAACAAGTCCTCTTAATAAAAAGATTTGTTCTGTAAAACTTGGACTCAGTCAAAAGGCCAAACCCAAGGACCTAGAAGGCCACACCCAAGGACCTAGAAGGCCACACCCAAGGACCTAGAAGGCCACATGTAGCCTTGAGGCCACAGGTTCCCCACCCCTGATGTAGGCAGTTAGTGGCACAGTGGATAGAGCACTGAGCCTATCCTGCCTCAGATACTTCCTAAATATGTGACCCTGAGCAAGTCTGTCTGCCTCAGTTTCCTCAATTGCAAAATGGGACTAATAATAACACTCACTTCCCAGGCTTTTTCTGAGGATCAAATGACACATTATTTGTAAAGTATTTAGCAAAGTGCCTGCCACATTGTGGGCACTTAATGAATGCTTTCCCCCTCCTCCTTCGCCTGGTGAATCTATGCCCATACTTTAAAGCTTACCTTCAAATTACTGCCTCCAAAGGTCAAAAAGAGACATAGACAATCTGGGCAGTGTTGGGGGTACCATATTAAATTCAAAATATATATTTTGAAAAACACAAAGCTGTACCTAAGGGCCATTTCCTGTTTCCTGTGTAGTAGTCATTTTGCACTTTTCTTTGTAGGGTGCATGAACTTGCTTACCAAGTTCATAATAATCAAAAAGATTTTTTAAAATCACCCCCTCTGAGGCAGCTAGGTAGTGCAGTGGATAGAACACTGGCCCTGGAGTCAGCAGGATCTGAGTTCAAATCTGACCTTCAACACTTACTAGCTGAGTGACCCTGGGCAAGTCACTTAACTCCCATTGCCTCCCCATGAGCCATGTTATCCAATAGTAGGACACCCCTTCCAGGAGCCTTCCTTGATTTCTCCATTTGTAATGATTTTTCTCTCTATGAAGCTCAGAGGGCTGCCTTAATCCCCCCTAGGCAATGTTTTGGAGAGCCCTGAGCTTCATCCCCTTCTCAGACTGTGAGCTCCGTGAGACCAGGGACTGGGTCAGTTCTGCTCTGTGGGTCTCCTTAAGCTTTGCATGAAGTGGGGTACTTAATTCATGTTTGTTAAACTTGAAGTCATGGGACATGGTCAGGGAGCAGCCCTTGCCAATTCAGCAGGATTAAGTTCCCACTGTATGCCAGGCACTGGGGCCATAAAGACAAAAGTGAGACAGTTATTACCTTTGAGTAATTACTTACTGTCTTCAGGAAGGGTACAAGGATATGAAGTATAACTGGGAAAGCTGATAAATAATCATTTAAGGACAGGGAGAACTCATGAAGGAGCTGTAGTAGAGGAGGTGACTCACGAACTCAGCCTTGGAGAAGCTCTGAAGAGGTCGAATGAGGAGGGAGGGCATTCCAGGTATGGAGGTCAAAGGCATGGGGACAGGAGACGTGCTAGCAAGTTCAGCCATTATTAGCAGGAAGGTCACTTCAGAGTCCATGAAGTGACATACAATGAGCCAGGGATGGCAGGCCCCTTAGACTTCTCTGTTAACTGAGCAGGTGCACTCCATTTTTTGGGAGCTCTGCTCTTAGAGATTATCTGGGTGTCATGCAATGAAAGGAAACACCCCAGAGGAGTCTCATACCCAGCAGCAGGGTGCCATTCAACCCAATAAACATTGAGTGAGTACCTTCTAGGTTCAGAACCCTGGGCCCTGTACTAGGAGGGAGCTAGCTCAGCAAAATTCAGGTCCATGATCTCATTGTGTTCCCAGTTTAGGAGGGGGAGCTCAATTTAGGTAACTTGAATTGATAATATTACATGATAAATGTACCAGAGAGATAGAGTGTTCTGGAAGCTCCTTGGAGGAATTCCTTCCTAGCAGGAATGCAGGGAAGACCTCCTGGAAGAAGGGACATTTGTGATGGGCTAAGGATCCTAGGATCCCAGATAGAGAGCTGGGACTCATGTCATCCAACCCCTTCCTTTTACAAAAGGGGAAACTAAGGCTTATAGAGGTGAAGGAGCTTGTCTAAGGTCACCCAGCTAGGAAGTGTCTGAGGCACAAGTCCAGACTACAAGTTCAACACTACCTACCTAGGCCATGATGTAAAGCATGAAAAGGAATTCCACAGGTGGAGAGTGAGAGCCAAGACCTGTGGGAAGCATGTGATCCCTTCCTCCCCATGCTCTCCCTCCCCCACCACACCCAAGTTGATCTTACCAGCCAGCCTCTCTGCCAGGGTGAGGGCATGCACAGAGGGCCGGTAGTCAGGCCCATGCTGGGCCTGTTGGGCTGCCTGCTGATGGAGGTTGTACATGGCGCTGAGGGAGTTCATGGCATGCAATGAGTAGCCATTGACGCCGTAGTGCTGCATTCCGGCAACTACCTGGAGGGAGAGGGAAGCAGAAGGGGGATCTGTGAGCAGACTCCCAGAGGCCCTCCTGCCTGCTTGTCTCTCTCCCCCTCTTCCCCTCTCACCTCCTTCCTTCCCCAGTCAGCGACTAAGCGCCTAGTGGCTGCAAAGCCCCTTGGATAAGACACAGCCCCTGCCTGGGAAGGGCCAGAAGGAATACACAACCTGGCAGGAAAAAGGCAGGGGAGCAGTGAGACCCAGGGCAGCTCATTCCCTGAACATGGCCAGCTGCTACGCTCTCCCACCAAAGAGAAAGCGGACTAGCCTCAATTCCAGGAGGAAAAGGTGGGAGGCGAGGACAAGGAGGTCCTGGGGCTTATTTTTCCTTGGTCAACCCCAAAGGTACCGTCTAGGGCAACTCAAGCACTGTAATGACACCAGTGGTCTGAACTTTCCGAATCTTTCTCATAATCTTACTCTATCTTCACAGAAGCCCCATGTCAAGATAGATGTTATTCTTCCCATTCTAAGGAGGGGCAAACTAGGTCTGGAAAACTGTTCTGCTCCAAGTCTCACGAAAAGGCAATGATGGAACTAGGATGCAAACTCAGGTCTCCTGCCTCCTCAGCCAGAATTCTTTGTACAAAGCTTATATCTGTAAAACCAGGGAAGCCAGGCATGCAGGAACCCCAGCTCCTCCCCATGTGGGAATTGCTTAAGCCTGGAGCCCTGTGATGTTCATTACCACAATATCCTTATTTTGTGCTAAATTACTCAGACCTAATCATCTGTTCTGTACCTCCTTAGTCTCACAGGCTTATAGAACGTCAGAGAGGGGAGGGCCCTTAGAACAAACAACAGAGAGAGGGAAACAGAGACAGAGAGAAGTTAACAGACAGAGACAGAGAGAGGGAAACAGAGAGACAGAGAGAGGGAAACAGGGAGACAGAGACAGACAGA